CGGGCAGCTGTAATTTAGATAGATATATCTTTTGTGCACATTCTATCTAGAACACACCGATTACAATACTAATTGGGAGAAGACCACTTCAGAAGGCAATGTGGCTTGTTATTTTGCATGCCTCGGTGGAACCACAACGCTGTGGATCTATGAGTCGAGCCGCAAGAGGGCCATACGCTTTTGGCCTGCTCTAACGTGTAAGCGCGATGTTGAGCGCACCTGATTGGCTCCTTCACTGGTGTAATGTGCGTGTCCGCCATTTTTACCGTGCTACGAATATAGTCACCTTGTTGATATCCAGGCCTTATTGAGGCTTGAGAGCTTGACCAATTGCCCGTTCGTGAAACTCAGGAACAAATGATTATGATTGCTTGCACCAAAGCTAATGTTCCACCACGTTGGAGGTGCGCCAACCGTTGCTGGTGAGCGTCCAGCACTGTTCCAACATCAAGCACATGTTGAGGACATAGTATTTTGCGTGGCACTTTGCTGACAAATGGCTGATGAATGCAAGCCTTCAAGTGACCCAGTAGCGTAACATAGTCCTTGTCCAAACCGTCAGCGCCACCCCCACTGACAAAAAAGGCTCCGCATGGGGATTTCACCATGCAGGGTTCCGATCAGTATGCAATCAGCTTCTAGGCAAAAGGCATTGTAACAGTATTATTGAAGAGCATCAGACCCTACGGTTATAATGCATATCGTTGGTATATTTGAAGGTAAGCTTGATTGGGAAAGGCCAAGCATACGTTTGCTGAAGGCTTTGTGGCCTTTCTGAGAACCGCAGATGCTGCGTGCTGATGGCGTGTATAGCGGCTGCATCTGTAAGCGTGCTGCTTGATCATTCAGGCATCATATTTTCTGCAAATGATGCAAACATCTATTTGCCTGTAGAAAAACCAATGAAAAGCGCACTGAATGACCTTGTTTGTTTACAGTATCTGCAGACTAAATGTGCGAACTTGTGAAGAAGGTGGTGCTTGAATGCAGATCCCGCTTTGCGTAGATATGCGTACACCAGCAAGTCTGCTTATCAGTAATGCGTTGCACACCTCAACGCAAGCGTGAAAATTGCATACACATTCTTGTCTGCATCATATTTGTTTACTTAATAGACAAGCTCATGCTAGGACCACGCCTACCGTGCTCTCTAATCTTGCGTCTCTGATGCAATAAGGAGAAATTATCAGTATTGTAAACAATCTCATGCTGCTTGCTCCAAAAGTGCACGTTTTCTGTGTGGTTATAATAGGGGTCGATGGATTGTTACAGGGGCCGCAGGAAGTGCATTTGCCGCCTTAAATTAGTTGGAACTGGCAACACTTGATTTCAGGGCAAGTCGAGGAGCCCTTCCTTTATATTTGTGAATACGTCAACTCCACATTTGAAAGTGCTGTGGGCACAGTGAGTGCGTTCACATGTTGCCTTGGTGTGATGCATTGTCCCTAAGTCCTAGCGGTTTGATGTAAATTTGTGATTTTCATATTCACGTAGCTGTGTCCCAAACATTTTTGTATACGAGAAACACGCTGCAAGCCTTGTTTCTTTGTATTGCAATAGATCATATTATACAGCGCTTACACGCACGACTAATCCGCTTCAAAACCCCACAGATCATTCAAGTGATTCCTGATCAATGTACCAGCACCGCGCCTATCTGACTGCAAACAATGGTCCATGGCCGGCTCAGTGGGTTTAAAAAGCGAAGATCAACAGGCGATTGCTTTTACTGTACATACATGACACCCCCTAAAGGCTTCTATATATGTAGAAATACCTTATTGAAATGGGCGCATCATGCGCGACAAATGCACCTACCAACATCAATAGGAACGGAAGAGGCAGGTATAATGTGGTCAACAATACAGGGATGGGAAGCGCAAGCAAAAGGAGAAGTTTCATGACGAGACAGATCAAGCGGCCTTGCCGAAACTGGTGGCTCTTGCCATGCACTGCAGCCCTGTCTAGTGCAACATTAACGTAACGCGCTTTAGGGTAATAAGTATAGGTTTTCAGTTTCTAAAACACAGCAACACAGAAAATAACCACTCAACGAATTCGTCTTAGTGCTCGGTGACTGCTGTGGCAGCATTCACACCTAAGTCTCTTCTAATCCGCTGCCAGTTTCGCCGCAAAATTGTTCTCATATCCAACGCATTGATTGGTTAAAATTGGCAGGTTAGTCAGCGGCAGAAGAGGGTGCTGGCCTTGAGAATTTTTACCTATATATGAGGGGATATATGTGAAGAGCTGGCGGTTGGTATTGTAGAACACAAAGCTTTGGTTTTAGTTCCAAGGTCTCACGTGCATGACGAATGGTTTAGCACTGCTACTGCAGTAATCCAGTGCAGTTCAATCTTTCATAATCTGTCGTGACCGGACGCTTGAAGACAGATGTCTGCTGCCTTCGATTTTCGAGGCCGTCTTCAAGACGTCTTGCCGTGTTTGGCAGGTAGTGAGTAGAACTGGACACTACGTATCAAGACTCTGTTATGATCGATGCTTTTTGGCTTAATGGGCCTGTACTGCATGAGTTTGACTCATTTGTACAGCGCACACTGTCGTATATCATATCTCTACTTTACCCTCTGCCTCTGGCCCTTTAGACTCTTCACCACAGTGGCCACAGGAAAGGGCAGCACTTCTGCATTGTCCTGTACCGCGCCGCTGAAAGGGTCAGTACGGGTTTTACAAAAACGTTGAGGGACCATATCAAGCCGTTTAAATAAACTAACAAAATTTTCTTTATTAACGTCTACACCGCTGGAAAACTAGCTTCTATTATTATCTGAAATTTGCATGCTTTCAACAGGATCAATTACAAGTTATTGCCTACTCACAGGTGGAGGTAGCGGGTCTACAGAGGCAACTTGTTGAGATGAGAGCAAATCCAATGGATCTATTTCCTTGTCAGTCTCTCCTACACGAAGATGGAGGTGGTATGAAGGATTTCTTGAGCATGATAGAGACATTGCTTCTAGAGGGAGAAACCACAGTTACTCGGTGGGGCGATGAAAGCACATAAAGCGTCTTGTATTGCACCATCTGCTAGTCCTAGGTATACCGTGGCAAATATGGAAGATTGAAAAGCTCCGCTGGGGAAACGCATCTTGAGGCGCTTTCGTAGGAATAGACGAGAGGTGAGGGTTAAACTGGCCTAAAACAAGATAGATCATGATGAATGCTTTGTGGGGCTTTCACAGCTTGTTTAACAGGGCATTGTGTCACAGTCCGAAGAAGCCTTAGGCGAATACTTAGCCAGCCTACCAGACGAAGCACAAAATGAACGACATAAAGCGATCCTTGATTGAAAGGACGCTGCAGCTACGTTTTGAAGCTCCAAGACCCTTGAGACCAGTTATTCGCAAAGTGCCGCAGATACTGTCATTACATAGGAGATGCGCGACGCCAGAGTCAACAGGGGGACCCGTAAATTACGAGCAAGTACCCAACGACACTACGCTGAAATTTGTAGCGGGATAGGCGGGCAGGCCTCAACCGAGGAGGATCAACAAGAACAAGCCGATGAGGCCTCTGTTACGCAATAATTCAGGACAGTTTGGAAAAGACTGGTCGTTGCGGAATTGCTTTTAGTGGATGTTAGGGGAGTTGTACAGCAATCATAGAGTCAAGAACTACGATGGGGCCGAATGCTCAGCACCACTAGGGCGTAGGCCATCAAGGGAAGAGCCACTCTTCAGGGCACCAGTCAGCGCGGACGGAAACCAAAAGCCTTTAAATTGTCGAGCACTGAAGTGATGGGGGACACAAGTACTAGGAGCGACCATGCTGCGCATGGATTAATATATCCCGTCGCCACGGGACCTAACAGCACCGTGGTCTTGCCACACTGAAGGCAACGTCTCTGTCCCCAGAAGATTGACAAAGAGGAAACCAGGGAGACCAAAGCAGAAATGCTATTGGTATGTCTAACTAAATTGTGTTGACTGGAGTATGATGAGCTGAAGGTTGGCCATAGAGGACTAAAGGCGATCAACGCATAGATAGAAGTACGTCCGAGGCCAAAGCAGGCAATCGTGTTAGCGGGGATCGCCATGCAGTATTCGAGGGTGAGGAAGAGCAGACGGCGGCCCTAAAACGTCAGTGACGCTTGTGAGCTATTGTATGTCACTGGGCGCTCAGCAGAGTTGTTTCTCGGCATAGTGGAGCATAAGCATGAAGCGCTGCAACACAAGGGAGTATCCAGACGCCTGATTAACCCGGCACTGGTGCAGCGCCTGGTCCTGGATGTCGGCTTCCCACGTCGAGGGTGGCTGTAACCCAGCTAGCAGGCAAAGCTCGCAAATAACTCTTATTGTTACGCGGCCATATAGGTGGTGTGGCATATTATTTGAGGGCGAATACCTAGTAGGACCTCTTCCGTGTGACTTTATTGCGAGGCTATTCTGGCTTAGCAGACATCAGATATGGTATTTCCGGTCGGATACGCTGCGCGGAGTTATAAGCCGCCACCGGTGTGACTGTCAACGATGCTGGGAGAGGGGCTCGCTGGAGGCGCGTGATCTCACCTCCAGGACTTACTCAGCAACTGCAGCATACCAGGCATACGATGCCTTTGCCCAACGAGCTACTCTTATGTCGATGGCGGAGGCGGTAGCTTTACCACAACCTCCTTCTGAGCGCTACAACTCATTACTGGGGCCGGAGCGCGCGTCCCTATCACAAGCCTCACTTGAGGAGAGAATCCAGCACTGCAAAGCTCTAGTCGGCATTGCAGTCCTGGATTCTCTCCTCACGATACCTGTTCCTGTAATAGACACGGCGGATCCACTTCCTAAAGGCCTGTAGGGGTTTTTGCTCTCTACGTTCGTCGAGCACCAACGTGCTCTCGGTCCAACAGTCTCAACTCGCGAACCCCCCTCACTTCGCCGGCGGTAGGCAAGGCCGACAAAGCGTCTGTGCGGCCTATTGCACTGTTAAAGCACACGTATTTGGATTTTAAAGTACAGTTAGCTTAAGCTTAAAAACTGCCGTCGCAGATGCTGACAGCCCGTCGAGCCAAAAGTCGTCTTCTTCCCGGTTGCCGTGCCAGGGGGCTGCCTCCCAAGCGTCCTGTTGATCACCAAATATATGTACCGGCGAGACTACGAACCTCCCTGCTGATAAACCTGGACTCCACAGTGCGATTGCAACACACCACCCTTGAAGCGCTGGGCTCCTCCCTAAATTTTTCGACGCTTTACGTAGAAGCCGGTCTTTTCCAGATAAGGTTTGCACCAAAAACGGACAGGTAGCAGACTGTTTTTTGTTAATCAATGCGTCTCTTAGAACTTAAGGTGATGTCGTTTGACGTCCAAGATGCATGCGCCTTGTCGAAGACCAATATCAATGCTTTTCTTCAAATTGTGTTGGCACAAAAAGTAGTTGCCCATTTTGACGACATTCGTATATATAGAGTCTGAACCTAGTCTCCCACGTGCAGTTCTTATGGCTATTGCTAAGCACCTCCTAATAACATCTCTGTACTACGAGTTCAGAATTTATAAGGTACCAAGGCAAGAGCTTGAGTACTTTGGCTACACCATTGGCGGGCCGGAAGTTCAGGGTTCAGCTGAAGACAACATGAAATTTCAATCTGTTCAAAGGTACCTCCGCACAAGACGCAGGTGCAACAGTCCTTCGGGACTGCCCAGCATGGCGCATATTCGTGGCGCCCGAGTTCGCCGACGTGGCACAGCCGCTCAAAGCATATGGCACTACCTGAACTCCACCGCCTGCGTCCGCTGTGAAGCAGCTCAAACCGCAGCTAGTCGAATACACGGTTCGCCCAATTTCCGACTCCGCCAGACCTAATCACCTTTAAGCTACTGCATCAGGCTATGCCTGAGGCTCAGTATTGGAACGCAACAACCGAGCGCTGTTTGATCCAGACCACAAACGTTTTACTGCGAAAGAACTCCATATCCACGCAAGAGGCTCAAACGTTAGTCAGCGCTTTGAATACGCAGGGATACGTACTCTCCTGTGCAAAGGCTTGTCCCACACAACACACCAGGAGTTGACCTACTTCCAGCAATTAGCCACCTCTAATCCACAACGAGAACACATGAAGCATTGGCTCGATTTTCTGGACAAATTCCAGAATCTCATGATCAACTATCTGAGAGGCACGCCCCACTAGACTGTGGACGCTCTCGCCGGCCCTCCGCACTTTGCCCGTGGTGGAGATGCCCTGCACCTGCTCGTCACTACTTACATCACTTCCTACATGTGGATGGCCGCCATTACTGCAGCCGCTCATGCGCCAGGACAGCATCACGGGAATCGAGGCCGTCAGGCAGCTATTGTGGAACTGCCAGCTCGCTAAGGGGTTCAAGCGGTCCCCTTTTTGGCTCCCCCATCCCAATTTTCCCCTGATTCAGCGTCACAAATCAAGGCACCAGAGCGGGAGCCCAATATGTACTCATGCACCGGAGTGCTCAACTGCAGGGACGCGATCGATCAGCACCGGTGAAAGGCAGACCTTGAACCCCGAGGACTTACTCTCTTTGTCCCTTGATGATGACCCGATACGAGCTCAAGCTTGGGCTGCTTAATCCAACTGGCCCGACCTCATCGAACCTTCCAAAAGGGTAGAGTGGTAGAAAGGCGAAGAATGTCATTCCTGCTGTAAATGCGGCACAGAAAGCACTTCGTCTCATCGCTCATGCTCTGCGCATTTGCGTACTACATGTGGCGCATTCGTGTCCCTCCGCTACCTAGGTTCTATGTTCTGTCCGGAGCCATGACCATGTCATTGCCTGCAAATGTCTGGCTTGCAAACGATGTTGTCACCTTAGGCTAAACCTCATCACGAATCTCCCTTTTAGAATGCGCAGCACTATGCAAACTTATTTTAATGCCACCGGGGTGTGCTGTGGCGAGCCTGCACGGTACTTATTCACAGGCCAGAAAGCTTACATCTGCCACCCCGCATTGCTGTCAAACGAGTCAGTCACGTTAAGCTAGGTTTTATCACGGAATGCTTTTCTACGATGACGATAACATTTCAACTTCCGTTTAGAAAACTGATTCATAAGACGACGCAGTTCATTTTGACTACCAAGGTAAGTTCAACAGCGGATACGGTTCAGTTGGTCGCATCTTGCCAATTTTGATTTCGTGGGGCTCCGAAAGTCCTTTATGATCGGGGCCCACGATGTCACTCTGATAAGCGGGAGCGTCTATGACAGCCTTTGAACGTCAAGCGGCTGGTGGCACGCGCACATCACCTTCAAAGGAACGGTGAACAGAATGCATGGACAGATGCTGCAGAGTTTGATTCCTCAATCCGATGGGAGCGAGTGTCAGATAGTGCCTCTCGCTCCTCCGGTCGCATAGAGTACCACCGGTGACCAGTGAGTACCATAACACGGAATCACGAATCGACATGCTTAGGAGCGTCGCGCGCACCCTCACGCCCAATGACCAGGTTCTACAGGCAGCTGTGTGAGCCGGCCTAGAGTCATACACTTCATCCGAAATGACAGCAAAAGCTTTCAGGTGATTTAGAGCTAGAATAAGTTGAGTTTACTATCGGTGGCGAAGTGTGGATTAGTCCCTGCAGTCTCCCGGGTGTGTCCATCTGCTCTAAGCTTGGGTCCCGTCACTGCGGACGAAGTTTGATACTCTAGTGGGTTCGCACGGCTGCCCACAGCGGTGCCGTACCTCCCTGAGACAGGCACCACGATGTTTCCCGCGTCGCCACGCATGATAGCTCGATTAGGTGACATTCAAACGACGTTTAAAGAGCCAGCGGTTGGTCGGCTCTACATTCGGGACACCACAGGGGAGGCATCAGCCACCTACGGAGTGGACTACACTATGACGGATAAGAGTAAGGGTGACTCCCTTCAGTATCTGCGCAGATGACGCGGCAAGCCAGAGGACCACGCCACTTGGGAACAGACCCAACCTTACGAATTGCCGGCTTCCCTCCGCACCTGACAGCGCAACCAACTCAAACGGCGCCGACAGGCAACAGCCGGCTCTGCCAGTTTCCCAGAGGTGAGGGTCATGGGAGGAGAGCAAGCGGCTTAATCAACGCAGCCGCTTGAGGGACCTACCAAAGTATTTTTTGGCGAGCATGCCAAAAAGGCATAAATTTGCGTGGACGGCAGCTGGAGAGGCAAGCCCCAGGAACCCACAATAAGCCTTGCAAGATACACGAAGGACATTGCCCGTTAAGGAAACTTGCAGTTGACCCCGCTGACGGAACACGCGAAGGTCACCACGGGGGGAGGCCTCCTTGCGAGACGAATGAAAGTGTAGTGCAGAACACTACACTAGCAAGGTTCAAGCAAAGAAATGAAGACATAGACAAATACTTGCAAATAGAAATAGACTCAAACAAATAAACGTTACGACTTGGCTGTAAGTGCGAGACATGGCCTCCGTGGGGCGTAAACAAGAGCCACAAAGTATTATGTCCAGGAGCCGGTCTAATGAATAGCTTCGAGGTCTAGAGCTCGAACACTGATTTTCTCGTAAATAGCACGAAGCGCTCCGCCGCTTAGTGCTCTCTCCATATCAATAACCTGCCTGCAGTAGTGTAAGTGTGCGCCCAACAGACGTCGAATAAAATGCACCGCTACCCGACTGCTCATTCAGAATGTAAGCGTGCTTCCTCTGTAACGTAGCGCCCGCCAACAACAGGAGCCCCCAAACTTGAAATCTGCTGTCTCTTGAGCTGCTAGCGGCGGGCGAGCTAGCAGGATAGCAGGAGAATTTCTGCCAGACAGCGCAATTTTAAAGAGTATAGCAGTGCCATGGTCAAGTCTCACGGCCATAGTCATTGGCATTGCCATTCAGTACCGCATACAGTTTTTCATCAGCTGTTTCAAAGACGCAGCGTAGGCATCAGCTTAGCTGCTCTACGATCTGCATGTAGTGCGTTCACCACACTTATCGAATGCAGCTGTGGGTTGTACAAAGGTGCATTGCTTCTTTGTATATAGAATGCGGGCCGACATTGCTGCTTCCTTTGAGAGACACTACCAGCTTGGTGATCACTGGCATTGCAGTTGGGGAAGAGCCTCATCAAGCTGTGCATCGAGCAGCTGCCCGCAAAGATGGATGCACGTAGTCTAGTCCAGTAGAATGCCTGTTTCATTGTTTAGAATTTGGTGAGTGTGTGAAGATCTGAATAGCAGATCTAGTCAAAACTGTAAAATGCTCGACATTGAGCCAGATAGTCATGATTTGACAATCGGGGATCATCGAAAAAATGTTTCGGTACAAGTTCTCGGCGATGTGAAGGTGTAATTGCGTAGTAGGTGGACGTTTGGCGGTAGGAGGTGTTTGTAACAACTGTCCATATAAACTTTTGAGCGTTTAGCCCTGCTCGACGCTGTGCCAGCTCGTTGGAACGAACACATATCTGCACGCACGAGTGGCATGTAGCAAGTCTGCCTACCTCATGCACCGCGTTTGATGTACCCCATAGCTTCTTTTCCGTTCTGCCCTCAATTTGCATACTCGGTGGCTTACCCTCTTCTATAATACAACGCATCTGCTGGCAGATGTACAAGCAGCCAGCGTATCTAGAAGGGAGTACTGTTACGCATCCCAGGGTTGGGTTGGTAAGGTATGCCAGTCGTAGGACAACGCAAATTCAGTAAGCATTACTAACAGCTATTTATGAATTTTTAAAGAGAAACTAAAGTGCCAGCAGCTGCTCTACGGCTTGCATGGGGGATGTCTATGAGATTCAGCAAACGCAGCTAAGCACGAAACAAAAATTTGTTGCTCGCCGTTGTATCGAGAAAGCTCAGTAAGCTTGCATTTTGCGGCTTAGAGGCAGGCACTATCGGGTTGTTGTTTACTCTGCTTCCGAAAGTGACAAATACCGACCACATTGCTCACAGCGGAGGCGGTGTCGATTGGGCATGCGGCCTTTAGTTACGACACAGCTCCCATTGCTATAGTACACGTACTCGCTTAAAGAACTGAGATGTACGAATGGCTGACAGACCAGTACGCGCCGGGCGTAAGTTGGCTGTAGTCTCATAGACCTATATAACCTGCAGTGTTATGATCCATTCGCTGTCAGTGATTTGCGAGGCGAGCTCCGTAGAGGTGTACAATAGCGATGGAGGGAGTGAAGGCTTGTGGAGTTAAAAAAACAGATGCAGGGGCTGTGTCAGGTTGCTATTGAGAGCACGCAGAGCTGTCGGCTGCTGAAGCGCTTTGTAATGTGTCACAAAGCAAGTCAGGCGACTATGGTAGCGTGCTTCTATACCCAGAAGTTGTCTGGAAGAGACCGAAATGTTTCTTGATGCGCACGCGGGGCGGTAAAGACCCCAAACGTTTTGTTCTGCTCACCAAAGCCACTGAAGATCAGAGTCAATATTCAGGTGCTGTTGAATTACGGGGTGGAACATGTAATGCGTGAGACCCTTTTAAGATAATGCCTTTTGTTCCAGGCTGCAGCATTCCCATGATACGGAGCTGAGAGACCACGAAGTCTAGGCATTAGGCGTCGTTTCACCATTTTCGCTAGGTGACTTTGAAGAATTATAGGGAGATGCCTGTGGAACTACTACTAACAGGCTGTGAATTCCCACAAATGTCAGCGCTAAAGCTTTGACCAGCACAAGAACACGCTTTACGCCTTTGTGTGGAGACCCCTCAGCAGCACGTTTAGGTGCCCAGGCCTCATGGGCGTGCTACAGGTTTCTTACGCAAGAACATCATTAATCGCAAACATCGCAGCCTTCCGAAAATATATAGCCAACATGTATCTAGTTGAAAATCTATGCTAGTTTTCTTTGGGGGGCTGTGCATGAGTAACACGCCATCACCCAATTAATCGC